GAGGTTGCATCAGCTGCCCGTGTTTGCTGATAAATATAGAGGTGAAACCCGCCCGGGCCGGGCGGGGAGGGTGCCCCGGGGCTCGGCTTGGTTTCTTGTTTGACCACGGTTAAATATTAACYGGGCCCGATAGGAACGGTGTGTGCTTGAGGGGTGTTTGCCAGAGCTGGCTCGAAAGGTTTCTGCTCTTGGTGGGGCTTGGAGCTGCGGGCAAGGTCGGTGAATACTCGTGTGAGAAGTTTGTGTGTCTCCGAGGTTTCCTGTTCAATGCCATCTGTGGATGTACGTTAATAGGAGCAGCTGGTCCTTGTGCTGGAAAACGGGATGCCTTGTGGGCAGCGGCTCGGTGCTCCTGGCCCTGGAGCTCCTGGCTCTGAGGTGCCGGGAGCCTCCTGCCTCTCGCTGACGAAGCCCCGTGCGAGGGAGCTGCCCTGTTCCTCCTCTGGAGGCCCGTGGGGCTCCCAGCCACGTTGCGTCCCGTCGGGGAGCTTCTTCGTGGCCTCTTGAGATGCGACTTGCTGGCGTGTCTGGGAGCTGTAACGAGCCACGTGAGGGCTCGCCTCCCCTCTGGGGAAGGTGGTTGCCCAGGAGCAGCACTGAGGTGTTCTCCTTGCCTTCCTGCAGTGGGGGGGTTCTCTGTGAACAGCTGCCCACATGTCTCGGGGTACAACAGACTTATCTGATTGCACTTTGAGTACTGCACACTTCCCTTTCTAAGCAGCACAGAGGCTTTTGGGGTTGGCATGTAGCAAGTCGTGCTGCTTATCCATTCTCTTGTCGATTTAGATATTGGTGCCCTATAGTAATCAGCTGTYTGGATGATTTACCCATTTTTTGCATGTGCAGAGTTCCCTGTACACCTTAATGTGCAAGGCAGTTCAAATTGCTACATCTATCCGTTTGATCACCAATTATATTAATGAGTTTTATGCACAATGCAAATGTCTGATGTTTGTGTGCTCTTGCCAGACGAAGTAACCATCATATTCTCTCTTTCTCCAAAGCCTGAAGACGACCAGAGACTGATTTACTCTGGGAAGCTGCTGCTTGATCATCATTGTCTGAGAGAGTTGCTGCCAAAGGTATAAAAAAATTCTTTTATGCAGTGCTGGTATATTGAGCAGGGTGGAACAACTGCTTTTTCATGTGCCCTTGGTTATGTTTTACTTTAGCATGAGGAATTGCATGCTCTTCATCTGGTGTACAACGTCAAGACGTCTATGACTGCCCAAGAAACCAGCACAGAGGTTGGTTTATTGACTTACATACTGCTGAATCTTGATTTTTATGACTATCTGAAGAGTGGAAAGTRATGGCTATTTGGCACCTCACTGATGCTGTAGGTTTTTCTTGCAGGTGTAATCACAGTATTGCTCCTGGGGTGGCTTTAATGCCTAGAGATATGAAAACTATTTTGACCAAGTTCGATGCAAATTGATCTGTCTTTCATAAAAGGAAATTCTGTTGGCATTTGTTGAGAAATATCAAAACTACAGCCTACTTGTAGAATGCAGCACTTGTCTACCAGGCTAAGGTGGTATCTGGTGTATTGAGTTATATCAAATAGCCTGGAACCCGTCCCCTTCAGAAGACTATTTTAACTGCTCTCGTTAAAGACATGGGAAGACAGTATGCAGAAATCAAGATCAGCGCTAGGACTGAGCTGAAGACTTGCTGGTGTTAAAGTGCAGTAGCTACTAGGTGGCCAAAAATGTACTTTTCTCCATGAGTGTTTTACTTTATTGTCAATTATAGACAAATTGGGTTTAGCTTACTTACCTTGGAGTTTGCCAGAGATGAGCCAGCTCTTGCCTGGGTTATCACACAGCTACATTAGCACAGAGCAGCTTCTGACTTAGCAGCTCTATGCAGCAGTTTATGTACGTGTGTGTGTGTGTATACATATAGCTTAAAGCTTCCAAATAAAAGCTTTTGGGTGTAGCTGTCTGTATTTTTTCCAAATGCATTTTTGTAACCATGCTGGACCTGACTGYGTAACAATTCTAAAATACAAAAATGGAAAGACTAAATTCAGGTAAATTAAGGAGCTTAAAATGGTGATTAAGAGCAGGGCTAGTACTGTGACAGCACCTAGAGCAGAGGTGTAGCAGTGCAAAGCGTGTGAACTGTGTGATGGTGCAGTGTGGTGTGACATTCCTTTTGCACGAGACTTTCCAGTGTTCTGGACAAGTCCTCGCTAACTGCCCTGTTTTCCCCAGGTTAAAACTGGTCAGGCGAAACTATCACCAGAAGCTGGTCACGAAGCCTCTGCATCGTCCTCAGGTGGTGAAAGACGCAGATGCTCCTCTGACAACCAGGCTTCAGCAGAAGCTGCTCCCAGGTAAAGCAGCTTGTTGTAGACATCAGTCAGGTTTTTAATACTGTCACTCTGGCAGATTTTGGAGTGCCAGCCCCAGTTTATCCTGTATTTATTAACTGTTATGTTTGCATTTCCAACAAGGCTTGAAACAGCTCAGCACCCCTTCCGAAGTGTGGCTCCCGGCTTCTCTGCTTACACAACCTACAGCATGCTCCAGATGTCCTGGTTTCAGCAGATCTATGCAAGACAATATTACATGCAATAGTAAGTTTTTTTCTAAAAAGTTACCAGTAGAAAGTAGAAACCATAATGTAAAGAAATTGAAGGCTTGGGGCAGCTCTTCTGATGCAGCTCTCTGTTGGGGTACTTTTTTTTTTTGTACCATACATTTTATGATGTCGAAATGCACATGGCCYGTGCCTCGAGCTGGCACCTGGTGTTTGGCTTGCTCTCTAGGCTGTGACGTTGGAGCTTGCTGATTTTGAACTTTTTCCAGTGGGAGGGCAGGTATCTGCATGATAAACTACATGATAAACTAACCCTACTCATGAGCTATCTACTTTTTTCTGGCTGTTCTTAGTAGGTTATAGGTCACTACCTGTAAATTCTTGTCATAGTGTGTGATTTTTTTTAAAAAAAACAGCACAGAATTCTTGGCTTTACCTTTCTSAGCAGTTTAAAGTTATTTGGAAAGTGTGTAGAAAATWCTTSAKTTTTWWAAAAMTSAAGWCAAAATTGGCGTGAGCTGTCTTGCTCAAGTCRTCATTCATGAGTTAGCTGGGAAGTACTTAAACTTGCATCTAGTACTACTGTAGTGCCTAGACTTGGACTTCCCCTTTCATGTATAATGTGACTACTTTTTTAATAGATTGAGCAGTTTTAAGTACCGACATGACATGCAAAAGCCTTTGACCAAGCTTTGTTCTGTCCTTCCCTTTGGTTTYCAGCTTGGCTTCTACTGCTGCATCTGCTGACGCAGCCCGTACCCGACGTGCTCAGGAGTTACCAGTGGCACCAGTGACGTCCCCAGCTCCTCTCCCTGAGCCGTTTCCTGCACAGAATCAGCCTGGAAACCAGGATGTTGCTCCGCAGGTGAACCCAGCAGCCAACCAAAACTTAGGAATGAATGCCCAAGGGGGCCCACTAATGGAGGAAGAGGAGGAGGGCGGCAATCGAGACTGGTTGGACTGGCTCTACTCAGCAACACTGTTCTATGTCTTTGTCAACATCATCTATTTCTACTCCAGTGTCAGCAGATTTCTCCTGGTCATGGGTGGCACTCTCTTGATGTATCTGTAAGTGTATGACTTTAATCGGTAATACTATATTTGAGAGCATTTAATTGAAATATTTAGCTCTACTGTGAACTTTGTTCTTTTAGTTTCGTAAGACTCTTCTATGAAGAGAAGTGGAAGCACTTCCTTAATCTTGCTTATAATTTAGGACTTGGCATCAAAATTGTAACTAGCCTGCTGCTAGGTTGGGTGAAGAGCGAGTGATAGTGGATGATACACTTAAAATCTTATGCTAAAGCTTATTCTGGCACACTTGACCTAAAAAGGCAAGTTTCAAGTTCTCTTCCAGAAACTGGGCTGCCCCAGCAGGCTCAGGCTCCTGATTAAGCAGCATTGCCGGCTCTTGAATCTTCTCCTTCATACCTTCTCCATTGAAAGAAGGTTATGGAAGTGCTTCCTGCAGCATCTGGCTAGGCTGGGGCAGCCTAGAGCTCAGTAGGCTGAGCGGGCAGTTTGTAGAGCTTGCAGCAGAGGTTGCTCGAGCTGGGTGGATGCTGCAAGCAAGAGTTTCCATCCGCATTAATAACATCTCCTGCCTTTCCCAGGCATCATGTTGGGTGGCTTCCGTTTAGACGAAGGCCAGTTCAGCCCTTCCCAAACAATGTTCCGGCTCAGGCTGCTGCAAACCAGGATCAGAACAATAACTTACAGGTATGTCTTGTCTTCAAACCGTGAACGTGAAATCCTGTGAAGCTTCATTCTCTTGTCTGAGACTACTGTCCATGGTGGAGCMATAACCAGCCTTCCTTTTTCTTTGGGATGGCCAATTCTTCTACAGCTGCACGGTATTCCGCAGTTTATGTCCACTAGTATGTCCTCAGTGATGTTTTTATGGAAGAGAATTATCTGCTTAGACAGATAATGCCTCATAAATATATGATATAAATATATTATGAGGCATAAATATGCCTCATAAATGCAGAGCTCCAGCTGTTCTACACTATGCCATGGAGCTCTTGGTTCGGAGAAGGTACCTTTAGTGGAACTCACAGGCTCAGATGTCTGCTTCTCCCCAGCTGCATGAATTTGCAGTAGGTAGGTTCATTCTTGCTGCAGGAGCAGTAGCTGTGCTGCAAGCTGGACCGACTGCAGCTGAAGACTGTTTAGCYTAATCTAGTGACAGGATTTACTTGGATGCTTAAGCCACCCGAGTGCTTCACTTCAGGTTGGCTTTTCTGGTTCATATCAGTGAATGTGACTGGAAGATGGCTGTATATGTGTAAGCAGTTCCCTTGTGCTGGTCTTGTCACAGCTTTCTTGCTGGAGGTGTKTGTTCTCACCACGGTGTTCCTGGAGACGTTTTGCTGGGTAACCAAGCAGCTAGAGGGTGCAGTTTGCTCTTCCAGGGATGATGTTTTTGTGTAGAAGAGCCTCATGCCGAAAGGGCAATGGAAATGTGATCAGTGGTGTCACACAGCATGTTTCTGAAATGCTACTTTATTTCAGCAGCAAGAAGATGCCGGTGGAGCCAATGAATCGGAGGCACCTCCCGAGGAAGGACCAGCGTTCCTGGAGTACCAGCAGGCCAGCCCCTCGTTGATGAGCACGGCGTGGCTTTTCTTCAAGACCTTCTTTGCGTCCCTCCTTCCGGAAGGGCCTCGCGCGGTCCGCAACTGACTGACCCTGGCCACTTGCCTGAAGCATCAGCAAGTTTTAAATGTACCCCGTGACATCAAAATCCCAGCTCCAAAACAYGAGCAGAAGTGGGCAGCGTCGCCTCCGGCGCACGCTGGCAAAGCTGCGAGAAGCCTTAGGTGATTGTGGCATTGGGRCTCGACACGTGCTGGGCTCGTCTTCATTCCAAAGAACTTGGTCTGCGGTGGGTTAGGTCCCTAGGTAGGAGCTTGGCCTTGGAGCCCTGGGTGGGCTCAGGGCAGGTGTGTTCAGAAACGTAAGAAGCAYGTTGCTTCTTCCCATGCAATGTGATTCCTGTTGGAATGTTTCAAATGCTATTTAAATTACACTGAGTGTAGTATCTCCACACAATAAATTGCTAGATATGTGTTAGCAGGGTTTTTAGGAAAGACTTGTTGGATTGCTTCAGTAACAGTGCTCAATCCTAACTTGTTTTCTGTGTGACTATCTTCCTGTGAAAGACAGAGTGCAACTTCCTTGTGGGACAAAGGAGGGAAATGAGAACTCTGACCTCTTGATAAGCAGTTATCTTTGGATCAGCTGAGTTGCAGGTTAAATTTCAGGTTGTCAAATTCAGATGATTCTAAATCAAGGCCTTTGCTTTCCTACTCCCAAATTGTGGGAGAAAAGTGCATTTAATTCTAGATGCCAAGAATTTATTTAACATGGCCTTTGTTTCTTGCTTTTGTTATAAACTCGAAACAATCAAGTTGTGTATTTACTTTAGACACTTCCACTCTAGAGCACTTTAGAGGAGTTTCTTCATTCTGTTTTCATTTTTAATACAACTAAGGCCTTCAATAAATCTTACAGGCATTTATATCTATCCTTGTATGTGCTTAATCTGGAGGTCACCCATGCAAAAGGGCAGGCTCTGCTCTTGACTGCCTTTTTTTTATCATTTTTTTGGAAAAATGTGGGGTATCATGAGGTAAAGATACTTGCAGATGTTCCAACCTTGCCCCTTGCATAAATACATCCTTCAACCTCCAAGTGCCTTGGGTGCCTTTCCTTGAGCAAACAACAYGTGTTGGCCCAAAGGTCAGGGAGATTCCTGAAGCAGGGAACCTTGCGGACGCTGGGGAGGCTGCAGAGTGATCCCTCTGGCCCAGTGACTTCCATGAGCTCTGGGAGGGCTCAGGGATCCTGTTTATCTTGATACAGGCTGTGTCCAGGGCCAGGAGTCCTGCTGCTCGCCCGGCTTCCCCTCTGCCCTGCTTGTTCCTCTGGGGAAGCTGCCAGCTGCCCTGGCCTCTGTGTGTGCGGGCGCAACCCCTTGGAGCTGCAACGCCTGCTCTTGCCCCTTCAAAGGAGCCTGGCATTAAAGTGAGCTGGTCAGTGGTAGCTGCTGCACCAAGTTTCTTTTTTTAATTGATAAATCATTGTTAAAATCAACAGCTCTGGTTGAGAAGTACTTTTTCACTGTGTTTGCAGCGTGCTGGAAGTAATTGTGGGGGAAGGAGGGCGTGGGAGGGAAGGCAGGCAAGGCGGTGAAACGTAGCAATAGTCTTTCAATAAAGGAGTTTCAGAGGTTATCTTTTATCTTGATTTTTGTTACTGATGCAGGACCTACGTGGAGGGAGGAAGCCTTTGGGCTCTTCTGAGGCCACATCCTCTGTGCCTTCCTGCCTGGGTGGTGCTGTGCGTGCTCCCCTCTGGGGCCTGGGAAGCCCGAGGGGGCGGACGGCAGGCCGGGGCTCAGCTGAGCTGCGTGGTGCTGCCGATGGTGCACAGTGCYGCCGCAGCTCTGCTTGCGGGAGCCCCACAAGCAGCCTGGCTGCACGGCTGGGCACGGGCCGTGCGGTGGCAGAGCAAACCTGCCTCTCCCCGGCGCCTGGGGAGCCTCTGGCCCCTTCCCCTGGGTGCGAGCGCAGCCGTGTCTTCCTCTTCCCGCGAGGCAGGGGAGACGTGTACGGTCTGTGCGTTTCGGGCTCCTCTTGCTTGCACATCTCACTAAACATGGCTTATCTGGAGAGCTGTTGAGGTCTGGTTAGCCTGGATTTCTTGTGCCCTCGGCTCTCCAGGAACCCAGGTAAGACGAGGCAGGCGCGCTCTGGAGGGCCCCTGATCCCGAGCCGGGTGCCGGTCCCCTCCGGCGTGCGGGGCTGCAGCCAACGTCCCCGTCCCCTGCTGCCCGCAGTGCCGCTGCAGGCGCGGGGCGGCTGCGGAGTCACGCTCGCACTCAGCGCTTCCACRCGTCCAGGTTTTGTGGGGTGCTGCATTTTAAAACCTTGTGGCTATAAATAGGAGCTTGTGAATTTATTTGCTGCCTGCTACAAAAATCTCGTTGTGGCCGTGGGCTGGAGCAGCAAGAAGTAACTTCTTTTCAAAGGTGACAGTTTCTCAGCCTCCCAAACCTCTAGCTGCTGGAGCCTTAAAGAACCACAGAGGCCACGTGAGATGTGACTGCAGCCTTAGAGGGACAAAGCTGGATGTCACCTAGTGGTYCCTGCATCAGCTTGGGATCTGCCAGGGTGCCGCCGCCTGGGGTTAACCTGCGTTTCTTTATGARATGGTGGAGTAATGTTATTTCCTCACTCGCTGTCCCTGTGCCACCCTCTCGTGGGTCTCCCTGCCTCCTTGAGCGCAGTGGAGAAGCCTCTTGCRAGGTTGATTCCTCGAGCAGGAGGAGGCAGGGAGGCCAGGGTGGTGCGTGAGCGTCCCGCRGCGCGCTGCAGGCTGGCGGCCGTGTCCCCCGCGCAGCCGGGCCGGTTACTCCAGGGCAGGGATGTCCCTGCGCTTTGGCTCCTGTCRTCGGAAATTCCCAGCCAGCTTTCCCGTTCCTGTTGGGGGTCGATGCCCGCCAGTGCCCTCTCCTCCTTGGCTCTTCCAGCGGCTGTGCGGTGCCGGAGGAAGCAGCTGACGCGGGGAAGGAGCACGGGAGCCCCGCGTGGAGCCCTGCAGGGTGCTGCCAATGCACGAAGGGGCTGAGGAGGAGCCGCGGGCTCAGCTCCCTTTGCAGCCCTGCGCTGGTGCCCACACGGCTTCCTGGGAAGATGTTTCCCTTCTCCAGTCGTCAGTGSCTCCTTGCTAGGGCCACCACAGGGGCTGCAGTGGCAGCTCCGAGCACCCTTTGCAGGAGGGACAGATGCACGGACGCCGTGGGTGTGTGTCGGGCGCTGCTTTCGGCACCCACCACGTTGTGATCGGTTCGGGCCCGTCCCGGACCCCTGCCCGTTCCCCCGGCCGAGCTCCGTCTGCTCGCCTTCCCTCGGTGGGTCAGTGACCGCGAGTGGCTCCCGGGCCCAGGGCCACAGGAGGCCGTTCACTTTCTCACCTCGCAGGGAAACAATGGGAATGGGCAGGGCGGGGGCGCGGGAAGGGGCAGCTTGGGCCGGGGGCAGGAGAGGCCGCGCCGCTGGCCTTGGCGGGAGCCCTGCGCCCAGAGYGCGCCTGAGCCGCAGGAAGGCGGCGCGCGACTCCCAGGGGACTAAGGGACCTCTAGGACGCTTAGGAAACGTGTGAGGAGTCTTGATAACCGGAGGAAACGGGTCACGTCCTGCCTCGAGCACGCGCCGCTTGGAGGTATGAAAGCCACCCGCACGAGGGCCGAGGAGCAGTCGCTCTCAGCCGCGCTCTGCTCCGGCCGAGGATGCTCGGCGCCGGCGCCGCGAGGCTCGGCGCCCTCGGGCTCTTGGCGGCGCTGCTCCGCGCGCTAGCGGCCTGCGAGTTCGGGCCGCTGCCGTACCGCGCCACGGGCATCGCCTGCCGCATGACGAAGCCTGCGGCGCTGCTCAGTAAGTCCCCRGCCGCCCCGCTCCCCGGCGGGAGGTGCTCCCACGCGTAGGGACCGGCAGACAAGGACRCTGGGGCCAGCGAGTGTGGGGGCATCTGGAGAGAAACTTCCCYGTGCAAAGTCTGTCCTCTGCTTGAGAGGTGCCCAAAGCTGAGGTTGGAAGAGGCAGCAGAACTTCAATGCAATGGGCATGGAAAGCTCAGTTTGAGGTTTTTCTCCAGAGTTGAGGTCAGGATGGGGGTTTTTCAGGTGTCTCCCTTTTCCCTGGCCCTTTCCAGAGAAGGAGCAGATACTTTTGCCTGGTGCTGTCAGGCACCGTTTGATCTGCTGAGTCCAAGTCCTCCTTGGAGTCATCGTGGCTCAGCTGGTTGGGATTCTGCTCTGGAAAAGCCCTGAGGTGAAGGCAATGCCTTGGGCAGTGTAAAGGCACGCGCAGCCTGCACCTTGCCCAAATCTGCTTCTGAAGTGCAGATCAGGTAAGGAAAAGCTGAGCTCAGTCCCTGGGAACGGCTTGCTTGTGACTRCTGAGCCACTCGCCTTCGATAAAACCTCTCCGTAGCTCTAATACAGCGGGTGCCCCCYGCTTTATAACTAGTGAAGACAGCAGTTTGTGATGTTCCCTCTTTTCTCTTGCATGCAGTGAACCAGGAAACGGCGCAGGTCATTCAGGTGGCCTTCAGAAACGCCAGATTCCCCAACATCACTGGAGAAAGGGCCGTGCGCTTCCTCGGCAAGGTGGCCTATGGGCTGACCAAGTGAGTACCACGGCACGCGCCTGCAGGCCATGGCTGATGAAGGGGTTCAGGAGCTCACCTGGGAGGAACCTCCGTGCCCTAATCCCTGCAGAAAGCAAAGGGCACAGTCTGTTGGCCTGCGCGGGGCGAGTTTCCTTGCCCTACCTCACCCTCGCCCCACGCTTGCATTGCAATACAGTCTTCCCCTGGTGATGAAAATCTCGCTGTCAAGAACTGAATGCCCAAAAAAGGGAGCAATTTCCTCCTTTGTAAAGACACAAATTTACAAACTTGTGTGTGTGTTCTGCTCAATCCCAARCTTGTGTGCGTGCTCAGCTCAAAGTTGTGTGTGTTTTTTCTACTCACCCTTTTGGTCAAATAACGTACAATTTAAGACTGAGGCCACGTACCTGTTTGTCCTCTTCTATGGGGAGATCTCTGATAAACGTGGTGTTGAGCTCCGTGTGCTGGGGCAGTGAGGAGTGTTCTGAGATTTCCCACTGTCCCATTGACCGACAGATGGTGCCAATGGCTCATGTAGYGTAGAGATGGGCTGCCGAAGGCATCCTTTGCAGTGCGATTGCACTTGCGAGCGTCTGGCGGCAGCCTTGTCATTGCGCTCAGCCCCTTTGACTTGCAGAGGCTCCCGAGCGCTTTGCAGGGCAGGCTCAGGTCGCTTTGGAAGTGCCGCRCTCGGGAGCAAGGGCATCTTCCTGCGCCTGGGAGCCTCGGGAGCTTGAGACTCGGCCGGCTCTTTGTGCTTTCCAGTATCCAGGTCAACAACTTGTCCATTGAGCAGAGCGAGGTGGAGCTCAAGGAAAACGATGCCATYGACATCGCCATTAAGAACGTGATGGCCATCTTCAAAGGGACCCTGAACTACGGCTACGCGGGGGCCTGGTTGTAAGTACCCAGGAGGCTCCCGCCTGTGAAACCCAGTGCGATGCCGGCGTCCCCCAAGGCAGAACGCGCTCCCGCCGTGGCTGCGTGCGGTTGCTGAACGTTTGTCATCTTCTCTTGCAGCCTGCAGCTTTTCCATTCCGTCGATTTTGAAATTGAGACCTCAATCGATCTGCAGCTAAACATAAAGCTGAGTAAGTAGGAGCTGGGCGTCGCRAGCTCCGAGCGGGCTGCGTGCGAGGCAGCGGCACGCGCCGTGCCTGGGACTGTGGGGACTGTGCGAGTGTAGGGAAGTCCTGCCCGCCCTGACTTCCYGGTGTCTGGAGTCTTTTGGAGACCTCCACCGGGCCTTGTGGTTCAGGGCCGAGCGTGGCACTGCAGAAACGAGCTCCTCTCCGAGCGCGGGTGTTTGGTGCCGTCGGTGCTGCGTGCGGCTCTGTGGTGAAAGCTCTTGGGGAGCCCCAGCTGGTCCTCCACAGCAAACCCTGCYCCAGCTCCATGCTTCTTGCCAAGCTTCGTCCCCCCCAGCTCTCAGTGAGCTGCCCATCAGTGCCTGCATTTTGCCTCTTCTTCCCATCCTGTGCAGTGTGTCAGGAGGACCAAGTGGCTGCTGATGCCTCGGACTGTTACCTGACCTTCCACAAACTGACACTTCATCTCCAGGGAGAAAAGGAGTGAGTTTGTTCCCCTCACCGCTTCAGAGTTTGGTTTGCAGAATGGGGCTGTGAGGTCCCAAGTGTGTGAGGTCCCTGACCGGGCTCCCTCCCCGTCTTGCGCAGGCCGGGCTGGCTCAAGCAGCTCTTCACGGATTTCATCGCCTTTACGCTGAAGCTGGTTCTCAAGAGTGAGGTGAGATCAACCTGCAGCTGGCTCTCCTGACAGCAGATCAGTCAGGGAGAAGACTTGAAGCTCTCCTGAAGCAGGGTGTTAAGTGACATCAGTGACGTGTTGCCAGTGTTGCTCACGAAGCTGAGCAGAGCCCAGATATTGGCATGACACAACCCAAAATGGCCCTCCTGCAGCYGTCACTCACCCTTTCTGTTTTCCTCTTGTAGGTTTGCAAGGAAATCAATATTCTTGCCCAGGTGCTGGCAAATTTTATACAAGACATAGCAGGTAAGTATTCTTGATGTTCTGCTTTCCTTCCCTAAGGGCAGCTTGATGGTTTTGCCAGATGCTGCCAGGGCAGTATCCATCAAAGAAGTTCTTTGATCCCAAGTCCCAAGACAGCAGCAAAACACACCTTAACATTTCTACACTTTGAAACGTCTGCTTCAGGCTGTCTTTTCAAGAGAGATTGCACTGAAAGAYGGTTCATAAGATGTTTCTCCTTTGCTATTGAGTGACCAGAGCTGCAGAAGGGCTGATGTTGGTTASCCAGAATGGGAGTGTGCAGTGAAGCATTAGGGTTGGGTTAGTGGAGTGTCTCTATCTGCTACCAAAGATATTTTCCCTGCAGTTCCCAGTCCCAAATATTAGGGAAAAGGAGAGGAACATAAAACTGAGAGCAGGTACCCCTATTTCCTGGTGAGGAGAGAGTCACGCTGAGTGCTGGGGAGGTCAAGACTAGCTCTGAAGTTTCCTGGTTCTCCTAGTACCATGTTTCCACTTGCTCCTTTTGTAACTGCTGGGTCCTGTGGTTATAGTACTCTGCATCAAGTCTTAAAAGTGAATTTTGCAGGCTTTTCCTTCCATGTATATGCCAGGTGTGAGACTATTTTTGGGTTGTTTTCTTCCTGCAGCAAATTTTGTCCAGGATGAGGATATCAGACTTGATATCTCCCTTGCATCGGTTCCTTTAATAAAAGCAAATTACCTGGAATCTCATCACAAGGTAAAGAAATCCTGACTGCTCAGAGACTAGAGGTTTTCTGCCCAGGATGTCTGTCGGGAAGGGCTGTCYCCCTGCCACGCTGCATGGTGTGTCTGCACCCAGCCAGCGGTGAGTCTGCAACGTGGGCAGCTAAGCCTGGCCAAGTGTCTGGTTCCAACCTTTGGTCAGTTGGGCAGCTTGTTCTCTGCTCTGAATCCAGCCAGCCCTTTTGCCTGAAGTGATAAGCAAAAAGTCCAAGTCTGGCTATTTTGTCCCATCTCTTTAATGTTCATTGATGCCAACGCGCTTGTTCTCCTTCAAAGGGCCTTGTCCAGTACAAGAACTACTCGGATGTCTTCAGTGACTCTCTCTTCTCCCCKTCTCTGCTGTCCGAATCCCGAATGCTCTACTTCTGGCTGTCCGAACATATCCTCAACTCTCTGGCTTCGGCGGCTTTCCTAGACGAGCGCCTCATGTTGACCATTGCTGGGGAGAAGTTGCAGGTAACTGTCTGAGGACCGGTTCCTTCCCATTAAATCATATTTTGTGAAGAGGACAAAAAAATCTCTAAATAATGTGGTTTCTTTGTGAGACAAGTTTTCTGTAGAGGATAGAAATTTGAACTCAGAAATTATGTGTGAGCTTGCTTAGAAAACAACCAGGTAATTTCTGGTCAAATTTTTTGATAGTAATACAGGGCCAGGCTATTTGTTCCTCTGAGACCCAAATTGCTTTGGAGAGCAAAGGGGAGTTATCTGCATTACTGACTGCCTCGCCAGCCTTCCTGGCAACGGGACTTTGGATGGCTTGGTCCGAGGTGGCCCTCAGAGCACATTGTGCATCTCCTCCCAGRGGTGCGTTGGTCATGGGGATCCACTCCAGCCCACAGGACAGATGTCAGAAAATGTGCCTGATGAGTTCTCCTTAGCGAGACAATGTCAGATTGTTYAAAACTTATCTGTTGTGTTGGGAAGGAACCCAGTTTTCCGCTGTGATTACTGAGGTAGGAAGGTGAACTCGGGAGGAATCCATCTGTGCTTCTGAGCTGACTGCAGGCCACACATCCATGTTCTAGTCCATCCAACCTGGGTTCATACTAACCATGGTCACCTCTTATTGTTTTTCTAAAATCTGTTTCTGGTTTGTTTCTGAAGGCACTGTTTGAAATCGAAGACACAGAGACTCAGCGGAGGGCTGTGGAGATGGTAACTTCTGATCTTGTTCAAAACTCCGTCAAACAAGAAACTTTTGGAGTTGATTCTGTTGCATTGTACCTTCTCAAGACCTTCCCTCACTGTCTCACGAGTCTGGGGTGGTAAAAACTGCCCAGGGGCTGGTGGAGGAACCACTGTGCTTTGGAGGGAGTACTTCTCCAGCCTCGATGTGGCCAGAGCTTCACTGAAACCCAGCGAGGCTGTTGGGCCTGGGAGAACTGGAGGAGGTGTTAGGTGCTATGAAGGAGGAGCAGATGCAAGGCAAGTTGGCATGAAACTGAGATGTGATATGGCAAAGGTCTAATTCATCGGTTGCTCTTTATTTGACCTAGATTTTTCAAGGTACCTCCTCCAATGATTCTGTGGCCAAGGTGTGGAGTCTTGCCCAGCCCCAGATCTCTCTCCAGCCAGAAGGGACCGTGGTGAAGGCTTTGGTAGCTGCAGAGATCAGCATCTTTCCCCCAGGAAAAGAGCCCCTGACGGCTCTGTATATGGAGAAGGTCAGTTCTCGCTTCTCCTGGCTCTATCTTGAGTCTAGATAAGGTCACATTAAAGAACTGTATTGATTTTGAAAAATCCACGTTCACAAATTCTGTCTTTGACCTCTCCTTGGAGGGTTGTTGTCTTGGAAATGAAGATATAGCACGTCTGTCATCAAGAATACTCCCTTCTGCTCTCTGCAGGTATTACAGTGAGATGAGTTAGGAGGGAAGGTCCTTTGGGGGAATGGGCATATCTGCCTCTTGTGTCTAGGCGGTAAGTTGAGACAGCTTTGGGTAGCACTGTGGAAGATCCTTAACTAGAAGATCCTTAAGATCCTTAACTAGATCCTTAGATCCTTAACTAGAGATGGCTAAAATGGTGGTTCTCAGGATATGGTYTGCTCCTGGCCTGCCAGATCTCTGGAGACGACCTGCGGTTGGATATCAGAATGCTCCCTTTCGAAAAACATTAGTATAGAGGTGAAAATTAGAAAATAAGCACAAACAACCAGGCCTCAGAGACTGGCTTCCTTTCAAATTTGGCCATAAAAAAGAGCGGCAAGACCTCTTGTGGTGGTGCTGATAAGCTGGGGGCAAAATCCCTGATGGATTTATTGATCCTTCAGCTTGAGATAGACCTTGTGAGATAGCAGCACCCTAAGTGACCACTTCTTCCTGCTTCCTGCTTACACAGGACTYGGTAAAATGGCAAAACTCCTGTTTTTTTGGAGTGGCACAAGGATGTTCTTTCAATATTGAATCCTCAGAATGGAGACATATATACTGGGCTCCTCAGATGAAGCTGTTGTCTAGAGGCTGACAGGCAGGGGCTGTGGGCATCAGAGAGCACTCGCTGCATGAAAACACCGAAGGAGAAAGCTGTCCTTCCCTGGCGATACCTAGGGGYGAAGGCGGAGCCATGTTGAGCTGTGGTCATGGTAGATAAAGCAGCATTTCCAAACACGACGCCCTGTTCTAAGGCAAGGTGAGCTGAATGACGCTGTTCACCTCTGTGCAGGAGATCACGGTCACCATCCAAGCAGCGTATGCAGAAAAAAGGCTGCACTTGCACCCGTTGGACTCCAGGTTGGTACCGGGGGCCCTGAGGGAGTCACTGTCCCTGCAATACATGTCTGAGAGCAGCGTGGACAAGATTTCTGCAGCCCTTAGTGACCCGCTTTCCCCTGCTTTTTCCTTTACTTCAGGATAGAGTTTAAAGCCTTTAATTGCACTGCTGATCCAAGTGGGGTGAGTCCTTAACATGAGTTCTTTAGGCCACTTATTAAAGTACACTTGTAAGACCTTTTTGTATGACCTATGTTCTGGCTTGCAGAATGACGAATCCATAAGAAACTTCCTGCAGAAAATGATCTCGGTCACTGGGATCCCAGAAGTGATTTCAAGTGAGTTTTCCCTTTGTTAAAGTGCTCAACAATGTCCAACACTAAGGGTTCTCCTAACACTAAGGGTTGCAAACAAACACCTGGCAGCTACAGCGAATCTTGCATCACTGGTGGGAATTTCTGCTGGATTCACTCGGGAAACAGAAAAGTCTTTGGAAATGGTTGGGACAAGCAGTGAGCTTCCTGCTAGGCCAAAGGTTATGGGGCGTTGGGATACAATTAGCGTTTGGCAGCGGGTAGATGGGTCACAGTACATGGGGAATATCAAGCGAGTTAGGCCRTCCCCATCACCAGATGGTTGCATTGGTTCCATAGGGATTGAACCAACTTTAATATCGCTGATGAACAGCAAAGGGCTTCATCTGTTTGAAATCAGAAGTCCCGAGATCATCACGAGAAAGGTGAGTGGAGTTATACATGACTTTCCAAGCCTTTCTTGGAAGTGCAGTATAAGTTAATACACCTCTTTGGCCTCACTCTTTTTAGGGATACTTAATCGTGCAACTTGACTTTAGCTTCCCGGATCATTTGCTTCTCGATTTTCTTGAGAAAACATTGTAGAGCTGGTCTCTTCCTAAAGGAGTGTGGCAACTCCTGTGCCAACAGCAAGGTGGAGCGTGCACCAAACTGAAAGCCAAGCTGATCTAGATCAGCTTCCAGCGGTTCAGTCGTGAAAAGTGATGCTGGTTTTACTTTCCTTTTCCTGAGAAATTCCCTGGTTTCTGTGCAGCTGAGCCTTTGCCTCTGCAAAGGTCTGTATCTCCACGGTCTCTCAGTGCAGGATGTGCTTGGGAGACAGGGTTGAGTTCTTGGAGGACGTGGCTCTGAGTCAGCACTCATAGGCTTTGCCCAGTGCCTGGCGTCTCTGTTGTTCCACGACCCAGACACAGTGAGACGGAGCAAGCGGCTTCTGATTTTGACAGACCTGAGCAACTCGAGTTACGTTACCAGGCTCAATGCAGCAGCAACAGTGAATGACCCACGTACGGCCAAAGAAGGTGAACAAGACCCAAGTTAGCARTGCTGTCTAAGAGCAAAGAGCTCTCACGTCCATGGTATTTTCTTAACGGAGCCCAAACCGCAGCACAGAGATCTAGGCACAGTTTTGCATCCATGGTGGTGAGACACTGGCAGCAAACTTGAGTAATAAAAATGATAGGGAAGAGATTATAGAAGAAACTCCACCTATCTACCCGGCCAGCAGGCGCTTGTTCCTTCCTCCTCCCATGCATTAATCTACTGGGAGCAGAGCAGTTATTTTCCTGTACCAAGTTTCGTTCTCCCTCTTCTCCCCACACCATATTTTTTGTGATTAAACTCCTGCCTTGGAAAGAAAACTCTAACCCAACTTTTCTCTGCTTGAGAACTTTATGATGGTGCAACAAGGGCAGAGAACGATGCTGTCCTCCCCTGGGAAGCTGCATGTTGAAGCTGAGGCTTCCCCAGGCATGTGGGACTAGGAGCCCTTGGTTTCCCTCAGTTGCTTCCTCCATCTCCCCGTGGGTTTCGTAGAAGGGCTGCTCTTGCCTCCTCCTCTCACACCTTCTAGCAGCAGAGCCCACGGGGCTCCCCAGCCCTTCCTTGCTCCACGTCATGGTCAGAGTGGCGGTGGCCTCGAGGCCAAGGGGTGGGTTTGCCCAGCTTGGAGGGGCACAGGCTCATGTTGCTCTCTGGCACCCCAATGTTATCTTGCCCCCCCGTGCTCCTGGCCACCATCCCCACTGTGATGGGAGCTGAAGGACGCWTCGGGGGGGACGTCGCACTGAAGAGTGGCTTCAAAGAGCCTCTCCTGTGTGGAGGAGGGTGACTTCCTCCCTGTCCCCACTYCTTGCCAGCCAGTGGGGCCCAAGATTTGGGCGAAGAGGGGGCGGCCGGGCAGCCCTGGCATCGTGTGCGCAGGGAGCCTGGCAGGGAGCCTGATCACAAACACGTGTTTTCCCGGCAGAGCCGCGGCTGCTGGCGCTGCGCAGCCTGGTGGCTTTCGCTTTCGTGCCGCTGCCCGGGGACTGCTGCGCCCGTGAGCGCTGCGCCCGTGAGTGCCGCGCTCGCGCCCACGGTGAGTGAGCGCCGCGCTCGGCTCGCGCCCACGGTGAGTGAGCGCCGCGCTCGTAGCGCGCGGGTCGGGAGCGCTGCCTCAGCGGGCGCACAGCACCACGGGGGTACCAAGGGAGCCCACGGGCCCTCGGCGGCGCCTGGGGCGGGCGCATCCTCTCCTGTTCTCCCCCTCAGGGAGGGGGCCAAGGGGACGGGAAGGAGCATTGGGGTCCATTGGGCACTCTCGGGCAGGTCGGGGCGATCTGGGGTCCCGGGTGACACAGTGCCCGTGCTCCGCGTCCAGCCACCCTGGGGCTKCAACCCCAGCCCATGAAGCTCCTGCCTGGGCTGGGACAATGCTGCAAGGAGAGGGGGTCCAAAGTTGTCCCTGCTGGAACTGCTAAAACAAGTTATTTTAATCCAGAGGAAAGTGAGGGGGGGGAAGAAAAACAAGGGCTGTCTCCCAGCCTTCAGCCTCCCYGGTTTCTCTTCATCACGGATGGGCACTCAGCACTCTCCAGCCTCTCGCTGCCCTGGCAGCCTCCTCCTGCGCCATGAGGCTCTGGAGAAGGCTGCACGAACGAGGGCTTTCCTCTTCTTTTCTTCCTAGTATATGGGATTTGCTGGGACCAGTTATTTTTATTGCACTAGGGAACCCCAAGAAGTGTTTTGGGGGCCACCYTGCAGGCAGCCTGCAGCCTCTGAGGTGGCTACTCTGGCAGGTGGGCTCATTTTTGGGAAACAGGGTCCTCTTTCTCTCCTGGGGTGAAAACCACGTAATATCTTYGTGCAACCAAGTTTTCCTGTTCTAGGATCACCAGACCTGTGCCTATCAGTATCGATATTTCCCCTGCGAGAGTCTTCACCAAGGCAAGGAGGACTTCGCCCCACGGAGGATGTTTGCTGCCACAAACAAGCAATTCAAACTAGCACTCTAACACCTAAATTGTCCTCCATCTGTTTTTATTATTATATATTTTTCAAAGGATAACGTTCTTGTGGTACTTTTTTGGGAGCATTTTGGCTCCTCTGCTTTTTTTTTTCTTTTTTCTTTTTTTTAATCAAGGATTGGAGCAGYTAGAGTGGGGGAATTCCTACCTGTACTTTCATTTTCACTGTCTCTTTCACCGAGGCGCAAAAAACTGTGCCCAAAGACTGTGATAACCAGAGGCTGCCGGACGATGTGTGATGCGTGGTGAGATGGAGGCCATGGCCATGGTGGGCCCGACCCCTGGCCTATGCGACGCCCGGGCTCGGCCGCGCTCCGGGGAGGCTTTCCCTGCCCTCGGTACATCGTAGCAAGACGGCAGGCAATGCAGGTTGGCAACGTTTGTGGTTGTAAACATTTTGGGTTTGAATTTCATAGCCGGGAGTGCCATCAAAGCCATTTTCCATTGGGGTTGGGTGGTTTTGTTTTCCTGACAATCTTCAGTGACAAGTCTGATTTATTATTATTTTTAATACATTTCTATTACGTAGATAGTTCTAAGGCATCGGGGTCTCTGCTGTCTGCAGGGATGTCTGTTTTTTTTTTAAAAAAGATGAATAAGAACCAAAATCAGAGTCTCTGAAAGTTGACTTACAAAGCTACTGGGAACCAAAGTTTGTTGTAYGAGAATTTCTGGTATTTTGCACATTGTTTTGAAGGCCAGCCTAAATCTGAAAACTTACAGGGGGGAATTTTTAAAGTTTCTGGTAGCTGAAATGTCATTTCCTTAACTGTTTTTTGTTGTTGCTTGTTTTCTTTTGTGGGTTTTTTTTTTGTGTGTGTGTGTTCCTATTTTTCTATTATTTTTTCCATTGCAAATAATGTTATTTTTATACTATAATGAATACTATAGAATGAACTTTGTGTCATATTTTGAACGGAAAACACAGTATCCTCTCTAATAATGTTCAGTGGTTGCATTTTTGGCAGCACAGAAAGGTTGTGAGGAGAGCACTGGCTCTGGTTGAGTCTAATTTTCCTGTCCAAAACTGTGTGATTTGGTGTTTTATTTTGCTAGATTACTGAGTGACAGCAGTTAGAGGATTTTTATAAATTGGGATTTTGACTCYTGTTTTGATGGAGTCTGAGCTAGCTTGCTTTTTACGTTGCACATACTGAAAGTTTCATCCAGAAYGGGAATCTGAATATAGTCTTCTGCAGTGATACGGTATGTTAAGAATATATAGTGATATTATATAACGAGCAATTTGTGATGGTGGCCATCAGAGTCAGACATGAATGTCTGCAGCATCATCAGCTTTGGGCTCATGTGGATGGCAGAAGAGCCCAGCTAGATTATTGCCAACCAGTGCCCTCAGTTGAGGTGAATCAGGTCAACATCCTGAGCAGGTCACATCCTGGTGCTACACGAACTCAGCACTGTCTGAGTTGGCAGGGAGCTCTGCCAACTTGCGAGGGAAAGATGTTGTCTTTGACTGGAGTCAAAGAGTCTCAAGTGACTCTTTTTTATCACAGCAGCAACAGGTCCTCAAATGTCCAGACTCTGGTCACTGCTGGTTTGAGTTGAGCATGCGACCCATGGAGATGAAAAAGCTCCACAGCTTTTCCCTCCATCAAAGGCAGAGCTTCTCCACCCCCATGACTGGTGTAATTGCACGAGTCCTTCGTGTCTGCATCCCACTCCATTATCTCCTAGGCATTCACGCGGAGCGAGGCATCTGCGCAGGGACACACAGCGCGCGTGCGGGTGCCACTGCCTAGAGGAGCTTGGCCTCTTGGTGGGGCATGGATGGGAAGACACTGCTGCCTTTGAATGTGCTGCTGGATTGCACATAGAACAACCAAAGAGAGCCCAACCACACCACGAGCAGGTAGGAGA